CACAACACATTTGAAAATAGGCTTTTTGTGTGAATTTTTGCTCACATTCTATTATACTTCTGAAGTATCTTCCAAAATTAACCCCAGTTATAATTTTGGAATGTAACATGAGAATCAGTTTGGGGACACATGACAATAGCTGCACTAGACATTTCATTGTGCATGCACCATACATACACAAAAACATAATTCCTCTTTGGATTATAATTCACTAAGTAAACTTTGGAGGCATTATATGGTAGCTTTATATACTTCACTCTCTGAAAAAGCGTAACAGTTGCAGTAATTAATATACAGACTAAGGAGTAAATTAGAAAGAATCCAATGGATTCTTGTGTTTACCTTGAACTTAAGTTACAGGTTAAATGTTTCCCCAGCCAGCAAACTGGAGATTGTGATAAGAAGGGGTGAAGGGAAGAGCTAGATGACATCAGATTCTTTCTAGCTCATGGAAGATAAGATGTAAATTCCTAGATTTCCCCCTATTAACTCCATAAAAAATATAAAGTTCTCGAAACAGCCGGGAGTTCCTGATCTAAATTCCGTTGCATGCTTAGATCCCTAACGATGTGTCTTCGCAAAGTTCCTGCAACGCTGGGAGACGAGCAGGGGACAAGTGTCTCCTAAAAAGCCGCCATCGAGTGCCGGAGTTTGAAGAGGAGAAGAGAAGGCGCTGCTTTCACCTGCTCCGCTGGAGAAACTTGCTGGCAGCGCACCGGCAGCGCGTTCCCGCCCAGCCTTGCACCACCCGGCTTTGACCCTCAGCTCCTTCCCGTTGGTAAAAGCTTGGGTACTTCCCAACCCAGGCGCCTCATCTCGCGTCCAAAATGGAATGTGTCCGAGCAGACAGGAGGGAAAGCTACCTTTTGCGTCGTTTATATTATGAATATCTCTGTATCATTTTAAACCAGCCTGTCTAACGCACGCACGTTTTGGAAGGTAACCCAGCTGGCGCGCGTCGAGTCCGGGAGAAGAAAGCAGCCTCCGCCCTGCGCCGGGCGGACGCCCCCTGCTGACCGTATGGGCCGCGAGCGCCTCGGCGCCCGCGTTCACTGGCGGCTCAAAGGATTCGGGCGTCTGGCGAGCGGCTGTGGCTGGAGAGGCCCAGCTGTCCTGCGCCCGCAGCCCGAGGACGCCCCGGAGCAGACCGTAGTAGCCTCTCCCACCCTCACCCCAGGGGTCGGGGGACTTAGGCCAGCGCCCGGAAATAACGCATGCTACGTCCCTTGCCATCTCTGGTTCCAAATCCCTGGAGAAAGAGGAGAGCCCTAGAGAAACATGGAGAAGGCAGGGTGAGAGCGCAGCGAGGCAGAGAGCGCGCTGGAGACATTCTAGAGACGAGCTCACAAGGCGGCGGCTAGTTCCAGGGTGGCTGCGAGTGGATTGGGTTAAAGCTGGGCGAATGAAAGCACCATGTTTTCCTAACACTGCTTTCAAAAACACCCTGCATGGGGCAAGATCTCAGGTGCTATTCGGGAGTTTTGACCGTACAAGCAGGTACTTCCCTGTAAAGTAAAAGCATTCTGTAAGTGGTTCGATAGAATGAAATATTAGGCGTGTGTATGCGCGAGTTTTAATTTTCCACTGGTGCTCCCACGTGCAGACACGTTTCTCAGCAAATGAACAGCAGGTAGGGCAGTGCATAGGTATGCATTTTTCTATCTTTTTTAAGTGGGAAAGAATACTACACCTTCAACCTGACAACAGGATCTTGCAAGAAAAGTGGGAAACGAAGGATGACTTCTAGTTAAGGGAAGGAGGAAATTTGTAGGGAAACAGTGAGCCAACCCTTCCCTCACCCCCCCCGCCCCCCCATTTCGGAAGCCGATGCTGTCGCCCTGAGTAATCATGTTTGTGTCTATTAATGAATTAAGTTAAAAGGCTTAGACGGTAAACTTTAGCTTTGCATGAAGCAAAACAGTAAGGAAACTCCTCAACAAGCCTCCACACATAGATAACCCCCCTTAAAAATGAAATTCTAATAAACGGAAAAACTACGAGTCGACACAATCAAAAGCAAATCCCAGCAAGAGCAGAAGGTACTTGAAACTCGAATCTGCATTCCGTTCCTCCTGTACAAGGCTCGGAGGTGGGGGAGGCGGTTTGTGCTGGTGCCTGGTGTATAATCGGGTTAATCCAGTAGACAAAGAATAAACCAATAGCCCTCCCACCTCACTTCCCGCTCCCCTTCCCCTCCCCCTTCTGCTCCTCCGGCCTCAGTCGGGTTCACCCCATCCGCAAAGGGGAACAGAAATGGGGAGAGGTAGACTTGAAATGGATTCCAGATAAAGTCTTAGAACCTGCAACTTGTTTTTCATGCTAACACTGCGTGGCCTGGATTAGTCTTAAATATTCATTCTCCTTTCCTGGTGCCAAACAGAAAGTTCCCTAAGTTAGCTCGAGCCTCGGGCTCGTCCTCGGTGCCTCTGGGGAAACCTTGAGGTCAGTGTTTCCTTGAAACTAGATAAACTGACCCTGCCGTGCCCAGCCTGGCCCCCCGGGCGCCCCGCGTGACGGTGCCCGGGCGGCAGGACCGGCCTGGGGACACGCGGGGCGGCGCGGTTGCCCTTTTGAATGCCTCCTGCGGCTCGGAGCGCTGGCGGGCGCTGGAGTGTGAGTGAATGTAGCCCCGCGGAGCCAATGAGCTGGGACCGGATGCGATATATCCTCTGGGACAACAACTGCTCTGTTCCGCCTCGGATCCACATGACGCCATTTACTGCTGCCGCGGCCGCCGCAGCGCTCCCTGCCTCCTCCGGAAAGGCGAGGGCGCAGGCCAACGGCGAGCCCCCCCCGGCCGGGCCCCAGACCCTCCTCCTCCTCCTCCTCTTCCTCCTCCTCCTCCTCCGCACCCACCGCCCCCGCCTCGGCCTTGCTGCCTCGCCTCCACAACGCCCAGTCTGCACCGCCGAGAGCTGCGCGCCGCAGCGCTAGCGGAGGAGAGGGGCCGGCGGAGCGCGCAGCGCCCAGGCCCCCGCGCCCGCCCGGCCCGGCCCGCGCCCCCGCGCTGTCTCCGCTACGACGCGGCCCCGGCCGCACCACTTGGCGATCTGGCTTTAGGTTCTCTGTGAGGCCGTTTTCTTTTCCCATTCGCTCATCTGCTAGGAAAAAGGACTTGCCGTTGGCGCTTCGGCCTCTTGTTCATTGAGAAAAAAGAGGAAATACTCCGCGTGCGCTTCTAGAAGGGGGGTCGTCTCCAGCCCCGAACCCCGGAGTGTTCATCAGCAGGGAATTTGGCTCCGAATTGTCCTCTATTTTTTCTTCTCCCGCCGATGGCTCGGAAGTTGGACTGAAGCAGATTGGAAAGAAAGGAAAAAAGTTTGCATCGAGACTGGATTTATTTGCACATCGTAGAAAAAAAGAGAATCCAAGGGAGAGGGGTTGGTGCAAAGCCGCGATCACGGTGAGGCACGTTTGGCTCTTCCCCTCCTGGCGCCGTAGCCGGCGCGTTTTGGGCAACATGGAGTAGGTGCAGCCGGACCGGGAGTTGGGTCCGTGTGTCCCCGAGCCTCCCTTTCTCAAGTCCCGCAGGGTCTCCCTGAGGGTCCGGGGCATTACCCGCGGACCTGTCCTGGGGCTCGGGCTCGGCCTGCCTCTGCGGGGACTTGTGTATGCACCGGGTGCAGGGTCCCCGGAGGGCGATCCCGCGCGCCCCCGCTCTAGGGGGTTGGGACTGAGGACCGCTCGCCTGAAGCCCGCTCCCAGCCGTGCACTGGCCGCGAATTCGGCGCTGAGAGCGGGAGAGGGAGAGAAAAGCACTTTGTGTTTCCCGGGTCGCCTTTGCAGGCGCCCGCATTTCTAACCTGTTCCTCTTCTCAGTGGAAGGCAAAGTCCGGGGTGAGGCTGTCCCTAGGCGGTGCGCCGGTGGGACTGGGGGACGCAGGTTGCTCACCTCGGGGGCAGGAGACCCTGAGGGTGAGAAAAAGGCAGGCTGCCGGGTGGAGGGAGTCCCCGCCTCTGCTCCGTGTGGACGGTCTAGCCCGGAGCGGGTGGGAGCGTTGCCCTGCCTGGCGCCGGGTCTCTGCGGTTCGGAAGTGCAGCTCTCTCTCTTTTCCGTCCTTCGTGGTCAGCCAGGGTCACACTTATTTTATTTTTGGAAGCTCGGTCTGACCCAGCGCAGGAAGAAAGTCATCAAATGGTCGCTATCATTTCCATTACCTGAAAGTAGGTGGCAAAAGAGGCAGTTTTGTATTTCCTTTTGTTGTTGCTGTGTTTTAATTTGGAATCTTGTGTGTTTTTTACAAAGCAGTTTCTGTGTCCGTTTGCCCCACCCTAGAGCTGAAGTTCGTTCCCCCTAATCCTTAGTCTGATCACACACTGTTCTTAATGGGGGTTTCAAAGCACTTTCAAAGGGGAGGGGGGACTGGGAAAGAGAAGAGGGGCGGAGGTGGGGAGTGGAGCTTCGAAGGAGGAGGCCAGGGATCGGATCGGCAGAAATCACTTAAAAATAAAACTAGAAAAGCCTCCTTTTATTCCAAAGATGCTACTTTGACTGCAAGCAAATCTGCACCGAAAGTTACAGCTCGGGGAGCTGGATCCTGCACGCCCGGAGTGAGCAGTGGGGCCCTGGAAAATGCCCTTTTTTAAAAAAGCAAATTTTCTTTCACTTTAAGAAATAATGATATCTTTTTTTCTCTCTCTCTCGACCCGAAAGGAGATAGGCGTGTGCAGATCACAGGCAATGTCCACTTAGGTCAGTGCAGCGTGGAGTCGCTGTGTGTGCGTGGGTTGGACTTGCGCGTCCCGGCTGCTTGTCTCAGGCAGGGCTTTGGAGCTTGCGGTGTCGGGGTGGGAAACCTGTGCCGGATTTCCGAGGGGCTTTGCAGAAAGCCTGGCAGTGGGCGGCGTGACCTCTGCCTGGGGGCGCAGCGGCTCCTTGGGGCTGGAAAGCAGTTCTCTTGAGTTGGGGGAGATCTTAGCTGGGGAGAAGGAGGCGGGGGAAGTGTGCTCCTGCATTTCGTGACACGTCCCCTTCGGAGGCGCCCGCGGCCCCCGCCTGTCTGTGAGTCTGGGGATCGTAAGAGGAGGGGGGGGCACCCTGGCCCTTGGACAGCGTCAGTCCTCCTGGAGAAACGTCCCCTGGAGATCGGCTGTGTCCCACCTGCTGGGGACGGTGTTGGGGCGCAGAGAGGCGTTAAACTAAGTGAAAGCATAGGGCAGGGTTGTCTTCTGCCATTCTTTGGAGGTGAGGAGATCCGGTTTCCAGTTCTGCCTTGCTCCGAACTGGGAGACGTTTGTCACCTGGCTTGTTCGCTGTGGTCTCTATTCTAAAGAGCGGAGATTGGATAAAGGTCCACTTTTGCATGTTTTATACTTTTTATTGTCATATAGGCTTGAGAAAGGGGGTGATCCGTTTGAAATTTAAGAGGGACTGCAATTTAAGGAATTCCTTGACAATGCTGGGTGTGAAATGTGACATTTGAATTTTTAAAACACTTTTCTGGTTATTATGACTTCGTTTGTGTTCTCAGTTAATTTTTTTGAAAAGAGAAAATTAGTTGAGCTTTTGACATGCTTTATTTCTAAATCAGGGAGAACAACCTTTCAGCTGCAGAATCCAAGGTGGTGTTCTAGGCTAACAGAATGTAAAATACTTAATTCTCAAATGGTTAAGAAATTGAAAATAAATTATTGTCTTCTTGTTTATTGCGTAAGTTTGCTTTAACGTGTTTCTGGCACCCAATAGGATTTGATTTGCTTTTTGTTCTCTAACTTTGTGCTACAGTACAATTAATAAAAAAAAGCATGATTATTGTAAAATTTATAATTGTTCTTGATGGGCATTTTGCTTTTCTGCATGCCATATCCATTCTATTGGGTTTGAAAAAGTTACAGAATACCGGATAAGTCATAAAGTGTTTGCTGTAAAAGCAAAAGCTAACAACCAAGAATCTTCTAGGCTACATTATTAATGCTTAAGGCGAAGCGACCATGAGAAATGGAAACCTATTTCACATTTTGAAAGAATTTTCAACTTCTGAAAACGTTGGTAGCAGTGTTATATTCCAGCAAAACTTTCTTGCGATTTTTACATTGAACCTGAACCTTGCAAACTGTATGTTTATTTGAATAAGGAATTCTTACTTAAGTGACTAAAACAAAGATCAGCTTTGTGTTGTTGTACATCACGGGATTACAGAATTGTCAGTAGCCAGCCATAATTTTCACTTGGGTACATGCGTCATTGATCATATGGCTAATACCTCCCCACTGTCATTCCATTTCAAATCCTGTTTCTCTAGGGAAAGTGGGAAGTGAGGAGTGAATTCAGGTGGGCGGAGAGTGGGAAGGATCTTAGAGTATAAACCGTTCTTTCCTCTTGGCTTCCTCAGGAGTTCAGATGTGTTCTAAGCCTGCTGGAGTGACCACACTTCCAAAACCTGATGGAGGCCAGAGCTCAGAGTGGCAACGGGTCGCAGCCCTTGCTGCAGACGCCCCGTGACGGTGGCAGACAGCGTGGAGAGCCCGACCCTAGAGACACCCTCACCCAGCAAGTACATGTCTTGTCTCTGGATCAGATCAGAGCCATCCGAAACACCAATGAGTACACAGAGGGGCCTACTGTCGTCCCAAGACCTGGGCTCAAGCATGCTCCGCGCCCCTCCACTCAGCACAAACACGAGAGACTCCACGGTCTGCCCGAGCACCGCCAGCCTCCTAGGCTCCAGCACTCGCAGGTTCATTCTTCTGCACGAACCCCTCTGTCCAGATCCATAAGCACGGTCAGCTCAGGGTCGCGGAGCAGTACGAGGACAAGTACCAGCAGCAGCTCCTCTGAACAGAGACTGCTAGGATCATCCTTCTCCTCTGGGCCTGTGGCCGATGGGATCATCCGGGTGCAACCCAAATCTGAGCTCAAGCCAAGTGAGCTTAAGCCACTAAGCAAGGAAGATTTGGGCCTGCACGCCTACAGGTGTGAGGACTGTGGCAAGTGCAAATGTAAGGAGTGCACCTACCCAAGGCCTCTGCCATCAGACTGGATCTGCGACAAGCAGTGCCTTTGCTCGGCCCAGAACGTGATTGACTATGGGACTTGTGTATGCTGTGTGAAAGGTCTCTTCTATCACTGTTCTAATGATGATGAGGACAACTGTGCTGACAACCCGTGTTCTTGCAGCCAGTCTCACTGTTGTACACGATGGTCAGCCATGGGTGTCATGTCCCTCTTTTTGCCTTGTTTATGGTGTTACCTTCCAGCCAAGGGTTGCCTTAAATTGTGCCAGGGGTGTTATGACCGTGTTAACAGGCCTGGATGCCGTTGTAAAAACTCAAACACAGTTTGCTGCAAAGTTCCCACTGTCCCCCCCAGGAACTTTGAAAAACCAACATAGCATCATTAATCAGGAATATTACAGTAATGAGGATTTTTTTCTTTCTTTTTTTAACACACATATGCAACCAACTAAACAGTTATAATCTTGGCACTGTTCATAGAGAGTTGGGATAGTCTTTGCTGTTTGCGGTGAAATGCTTTCTGTCCATGTGCCATTTTAACTGATAGGCTTGTTAGAACTCAGCTAATGGAGCTCAAAGTATGAGATACAGAACTTGGTGACCCATGTATTGCATAAGCTGAAGCAACACACACACACTCCTAGGCAAAGTTTTTGTTTGTGAATAGTACTTGCAAAACTTGTAAATTAGCAGATGACTTTTTTCCATTGTTTTCTCCAGAGAGAATGTGCTATATTTTTGTATATACAATAATATTTGCAACTGTGAAAAACAAGTTGTGCCATACTACATGGCACAGTCACAAAATATTATACTAATATGTTGTACATTCGGAAGAATGTGAATCAATCAGTATGTTTTTAGATTGTATTTTGCCTTACAGAAAGCCTTTATTGTAAGACTCTGATTTCCCTTTGGACTTCATGTATATTGTACAGTTACAGTAAAATTCAACCTTTATTTTCTAATTTTTTCAACATATTGTTTAGTGTAAAGACTATTTATTTGAAGTTTTATTATTTTATAAAAAAGAATATTTATTTTAAGAGGCATCTTACAAATTTTGCCCCTTTTATGAGGATGTGAGAGTTGCTGCAAATGAGGGGTTACAGATGCATATGTTCAGTATAAAATAGAAAATATATTAACGTTTGAAATTAAACTGAGCTGTTTTGTCTTCTTTTATCTTTTCTTTCAAGTGTAAGAAACTGCATTTTATGTTAAGGGTAACATTTTAGTGAAATAGTGCATCACTTTTCTATAGAATTATTTTATGATTGCTACTTTAAAGTAAGCTGGATTTGATGATGGTTCAGAGACAATTCCAGCAATCAAGAGCCAACAACATTTGACTTACCTATCTGTACTTAACATAGGAGAGCTTATTTTAGCTGGATTATTGAACAACATTTTTTTTTTTTTTTGCCAGATTTGCTGACTTGTTTTGTCGAGGTTTTGTTTTTAAAAAAAATTTTTGGAATTGATTTGTAAGGGAAACCTTTCTTAAAAATTAACAGTAGACTTTTTCTTTATATACAGTATCAAGGATTAATTCCATGAGGATAATTTATAACTAGTAAAATGAGTTTAGCTCAACAAATATTTATTGAATGTCACCTGTGTCTCAGACATGCAGTATTCACAGGTGAGTTCTTATAATTAAGACAAAACATATTTTCTTAACTTAGCTGATCATGGCAGCGTTTGTTCCAGTTTATACTCTGAAATATCACCATTTTACCAAATTCCTTATGTTAGAAAAAACACAAAAAATAGAAAATTTGCTTTGATTCAGGTATTCCGTATCATAAAATTTGATCCAATATTGGTCTTACTTAAGACCAAAAAGGCCAATTTGAGACCCTGACTTATTTAATCAAATTATCCAGAAAATTGTTAAATTTTGCTCTGGGGAAAACATGCACATGTCAAAGTCAGTGCGCTTGGAGTTGTCTTTTAGAAGCAAAGGTGCAGCAAGCTGCTGCAAGCCCATCTTGACAAATACTAGGTTTTAAGTCACTTCATTAGTCACTTGGTGGCTGACGATTTTTTTTTTCCAAAAGCACAAACTTTTGCTGTCAAGAGTCACCGGAAGTCTAGAAAATAATTTACCTGTCATTATTGTTTAATCTCTTGTTTCCTGTTCTGAGGCTCCTGCCTATTAGGTTAAGTCTTAGTACAGGTTGTCTTCTGTTTTGTTTTATAAAATTGTCTTTCAAGGAACTATATAGCCCCCTACACTAAGACATTGCTCTAAGGGCCTTCAATTTCCTCTGACTTTCTCCAAAAAACAGGATTAAGTTAATTTAGAAATTATTTACTCTTAAGCTTCAACTTTGAGATACCAAATGTTTCGATTCTAACACTCTTAAAACTTGACCCTGGTGGTCTAAAAGGAATTTGGTTGCTGGAAAATAGGGTAGGGTTCCTTATTCATATAAAGCACAAAAATTTTGATTAATTGGTTTTATTCATCAAAAACTGCCACATGCATTGACAGAGCTCTTTTTGGTATAGAAATTGTGAGTTAAATTTTTTTTTTTTTCACTGTTTAAGTGACTTTCAAAGTATTCTTAGGCAAATTGCATCAGATGCCATTGGGTGTTTATTGAAAATGTAAGAACCTTTCCCCATAGTTACTGAGTCAGAATCTGATGGTGTGGCCTAAGAATTAGCATTTTTAATCATTCTACAAGTGATTATGTGCAATATGGCAACTACTGACCTAGGAATTGCTTTCTAATTCAGTTTTTTAATGGATTCTGATCTAAAGTGTAACTCATTGGTTTGAATATAGAGCATAAAGTGATAGTCAACTGAAATTGGAAGAGGATTTGAAGTGTATTAAGTCCTGATGAAAATAATTTGTTTAAAGATAAATATGAAAATTGGAGGCCAGGATGGTGGCTCACACCTGTAATTCCAGCACTTTGGGAGGCTGAGACAAGTGGATCACTTGAGATCAGCAGTTTGAGACCAGCCTGGCCAATATGGTGAAACCCCATCTCTACTAAAAATACAAAAATAAGTGGATGTAGTGGCAGGCACATCTAATCCCAGCTACTTGAGAGGCTGAGGCAGGAGAATTGCTTGAAACTGGGAGGTGGAAGTTGAAGTGAGCCGAGATCATGCACTCCAGCCTGGGCCTGGGTGACAGAACAAGACTGTCTCAAAAGAAAAAAGAAAATAATATTGGACCTCTCAAGAAGCTTCTAATTAACCTGTTAAATGTTGACTTTATCCATATACCAACAGAGAATTAATTTTCAAAATATGGAATTTGAAAATTTATATAATTTTCAGTATATTTCAAAATATGTTTATATCTGAACAGATTAAAAACAACTGGTACTCAGGGCATTAAAAATAATAAAAATAATTAATTTTATTTCTTTTTTATGTTATTTTTTAAGATGGAGTTAGACTGTGTTGCCCAGGCTAGAGTGCAATAGTGGGATCTCGGCTCACTGCAACCTCCGCCTCCCCTGTTCAAGCCATTCTGCCTCAGCCTCCAGAGTAGCTGGACTACAGGGGCATGCCACCATGCCCAGCTAATTTTTGTACGTTTAGTAGAGATTGGATTTCACCATGTTGACCAGGCTGGTCTCAAACTCCTAAACTCACATGATCTACCATGCTTGGCCAAAAATATTTCTTTTAATGTTGCAAGTTATCACACTTGGGAAAAAATAAGGAGGAATAACCTCAATTTCTTAATCTCTAAAGTTCATGAAAAATTATAATATGATAGATTTCTAATCCAATGGCCATTATTTTGATATGAAAGAGTAAAAGTATGATAATGCAAACATAACTGCTAAGCATTTAGGGGAATTTTAATACATTTTTGTGGTTTCTTGCTTTTTAATTTCTTTTAAACCTGTGGATGCTCTATATTTGAGATTCATTTAAGAATGACAACTTGATTGTTGTTACTTAAAACATTCATTTATGTGTTTTGAGTAGGAGATTTTAAGGCCCTGCCAAATTTCTGCTATGTTGTAGCTTGCTCTGGGGATTGTCTGTGAAAGAAGAAAGCCAAAACCCAGGGAAGTCTTCCCAACTAAACTTTTTGCATAACCTCTTTCTTCAGTACACTTCTGTCTCAAGGACTACTTGACTCCAGGATATATAAGTTAAGGTACTGATGATGTCAGATAAATGAATTTGCTCTTGCACAGTGCTGTAAGATATTTGATAGGCAGTTGATGGGTTTAATGTAATTTATTAACTTTTAAGCATTTAGGTCGAAATTTTCAAAGGTTTAATGGTTTTAGAATTTCACTTGAAGTCATACCCACAATTGGCCATTTGTCTTCCTCTCCTAAATGTGCATAAGGACCAGGGCATAAACAGAGCTTTTAGCTTTGAAAATGGGCTGAATTGTACAGATCAAAAGCAAGACTTTCAACTTGTGGAGAATATTTTACACTATTTTCATAAAGAAAACATACAATAGTAGGTTATTAATTAGTCACGTCATTGTATCAATATCCACTCTCTGGTTTGCAATATCCATTAAGGTAAAAGTCATGTTAATTTCTATTTTAATGTGGTCTAATGCCTCACTTCTTTATGACATACTAAGGGTGGGTCTCCACTGAGTGAAAACCAGAGTAGAATTTTAACAAGGCCCATCTGATTTGACCTAAAACGGATCATCAGAGTAAAGCCATACACCTGGAGTATTTCATCACAGGTTTGGCCATTCACAAGAGGATAAGAGTCAGACGGTATGTCTCATACCGTAGATTTTATTTGGATGCCACACTGCCACTCCCTTTTCACCACAAGAGACAACCATGTGAATAATGAGAGGCAAAATGTGAATACAACTGATAATACTGCACCTCTGGTCAAAATTAGACTTAACACATTAATTTATAATCAAAGAACAAAGATATATAGCAAAAGGGGAGGAAATTAACATTTAAACGTTTTCCATGCCTAGCAAATGTTTCACATTTTTATTTAATACTCCATTTTGATTGACTTAAAGAATATTTAAAAGTCAATCTTATTTGGCAACTCATACTTTTTTTTTTTTTAATAAACTATTAAAGGCTATTAGAAAGAAGCCTTGGCCTCTGGCTTGGCCAGACGGGGCATGTAAGGCTTCGGCATAACTTATGAATTTATTTCTCAAAACACCTGCTAATACACAAAGAATAATAAATAATTTGACTTAATACAAGTACTCACTTGGAAGAGAATTTGGGCACCAAAATATTTATAATTTGGCGTTTCACCTTAAATAGTTTTTAGATGCCTACTGCTTATAAATTACAGGGCTAGTTGATCTAATGCAAAAGCAAAGAGGTAGCAACTCTAATGCAAGACCGGACTTATAACAGAAGCATAGCAAGATACTATGAGGGTACAGAAATTGAGGGAAAAACACTGATGCATTCTCGTTAACTAGTTTGATCACCATGTCTTTGCAATGGTTTCAGATACTTAAAACACCTAAAGAGTTTTTGCTAAGACAGTTGCAACAGAATTAGCATCACTCATTAAATAAAACTCTGTTTACCATGCTCATATTCACATCCTAAAACAAATTGTAGAAGTGTTTATATGAACAACTATATGTTGGTATGTTTATTCTTTTTTTTTTTTTTTTTTTTTTTGAGATGTTTCACTCTTGTTGCCCAGGCTGGAGTGCAATAGTGTGATGTCGGCTCACTACAACCTCTGTCTCCCGGGCTCAAGCTATTCTCCTGCCTCAGCCTCCTGAGTAGTTGGGATTAAAGGCATGCACCACCATGCCCGGCTAATTCTGTATGTTTAGTAGAGATGGGGTTTCTCCATGTTGATCAGGCTGGTCTCAAACTCCAGGCCTCAAGTGATCCGTCCGTCTCAGCCTCCCAAAGTGCTGGGATTACAGGTGTGAGCCACCACGCCCCAACGCTGTTTATTCTTAATCTTGAGATTCATGATTCACTAAAACCTTCCCTTAAAAAATACAAATAAAAAAATACTTTTTCAAGATGTAGAACTAAGAAACAAGTTGAAAAGATCTGTCTATTCTTGTCCTTCCAGTTCTTGCTGGAATTTGCCTTTCGTTATTAACCCATAATTTTAGCTTGCTTCTGTACCTAGAGAAGGATGAATCGGAAATAATTAAGTTGGGGATGAAGAAAAGTGTAGGTGATATTGTGA